AAAAAAAAAAAAAAAAAAACAAAAAAACTAGTTCTATTGTATTTACTCACTCACTGAATTACCAATGTCCCAATACTGCATCACACTCCCCACAAATCTTTCCAACTTCTCAGTCTCCTGTAGATAATATAGTCTCTCCTGCAGATAAGGTAGTCTCTTATCAACAGAAATGGAAACATGGGCTATCACCTTACTAAAGGTTCTACTCTCTTCTTCATGGAGGCTTATATCAGTCCTCATTCTCCCACCCATCCCAAGACACACAAGACAAGGCAGCTGCAACCCTCCAAGGGAAGTCCCCTGTGCCCTTCACCCCACACCCCCCCCATCTTCTCTGTCCTTGTGCTGTCTTTCCTGTGCCACTAATCTTGTACTCTTTACTAATTATTTCCTCTCAAGCAATAAATATGCTCAATTATTGCCCACACCAAAAAGAAAAAAAAAAAACCTAACAACAAAAAACCTAAAACATATCCCAGATAACCAACATTGCCTCTGCTGACCCTGTCTCCTATTCCCCTATTCCGGTTTTAACTCTGCTGTCCCCTGGGAAGATTACTCATCAGTCATTGTCTCTCTCTTTCTTTCTTTCTTTCTTTCTTTCTTTCTTTCTTTCTTTCTTTCTTTCTTTCTTTCTTTCTTTCTTTCTTTCTTTCTTTCTGAGAGATTTTTGCTATTGGGTACATATACTCACTGGAGAGACAGAGAAATAGAAAGTGAAAAATCATCCCTTGAGGCCATGGCCACACCACAGTCCCTTCTCCTCCGTTCTCCTCTTGGAATTTTGGGCACACGTGTGAATTCTGCCTGGTGTGTTTCAAGTTGCCAGGTCTGGGACTTGAACTGCGGTCAGCCATGTGGGAGTCTAGTGACCAGTATGCCATCTGCTGGTCCTTTCTTATTCTCCTTCAACCCAGTCAACACTGACTTCTAATCCCCCCACCACTTGAAGACACAATGATATCTGTATGACACTTCTATGTCCTTTTCTGTGCTACATTTCTTCTTCTTTTATTTTCTTTTTTGAGAGGTTTTTGTCATAGGGTGCGTGCGCTCTCCAGGCAGACAGAGAGAGACAGAGAGACAGAAAGTGAGAAATCACCCCCCAGGGGGGATGGCCACGCCACAATCCCTTCTCCTCCATTCTCCTCCCGGGATCTTGGGCACGCATGCACACGTGCCCAGTGTGGGTTTTAAGCCACCGCGGGACACGCACCGCGGTCGACCATGTGGGAGTCCAGCGACATAGCCATTAAGCTAACTGCTGGTCCCTGTGCTTCATTTGACACTCCTAGCCACATACTTCTTGAATTTTCCTTGCTTTTGACTTCCATGACCTTATTGCTTTTGTTTCTCTGATATTCCTTTCAGGATTCTTGTAGCCACCTTTTATTTGTATTTTATTTTTTTTAAAAAAATATTTACTTAATTTTATTTATTTATTTATTTTAATTTGATATAGACGCTCACAAGAGTGAGACAGAGAAAGAGAGAAAGTGAGAAAATCAGCCATCAGGTCCTGGACTCAAACTATGATCCACCATGTGGGAGTCCAGTACCCCAATCACCATGCCACCTGTTGGCCCTTTGGCTACCTTTTAAATGTTGGTATTCTTGGATCCTACCTTGAGCTCCTACTATTTTTCTGTTTTCATTGCCTTAACTGCCAGGGATCCTATGCTAAGGACTTGCAAATCTATACCTCCAGCCCTAACCTCTCACTTTTGCTTCAAGGTCAGGTCTACTCTCTCTATATTTCCTATGAATTCTTTATCAACTCCCCTACTTTCCAAAATTTGGTCTTCCTCTTCTATTCCTTCTGAGTTTTGCAATGTTTGGTTCTAAAAGTTGGTAACCTCAAGAATTTCAGAATCATTACTAAACTGTTTGTTAGTAATATAATGGAAGCCACATGTGTAACTTAAAATTTTCTGCCAGCCACCTTAAAAAATAAGAGTGGGGGGAGGGGGCAACAGTGACATGGTGGATAAGGCACTGGATTCCCACATAGCCAACCTTGGTTCAAGTCTAGGACCTGGCAGCTTGAAGATTTGCACTAGGTGTATGTGCATGCATGCCCAAAATCCTGAGAGAATTGAAGAGAGGGGATTGTGGTGTGGCCATCCCTCTTGGGGACTGGTTTCTTAATTTTCTTCTCTCTCTCTCTCTCTTTCTCTCTCCCTCTCTCCCTCTCCCTCTCCCTCCCCCTTCCCTCCCTCCCTCCCTCCCTCCCTCTCTCTCTCCCTTCCCCCTGGCAAGTGCACACACCCTATGACAAAACAACCAACCAACCAACCAAGTAAAGTTAGCTTTAGAAATAGATTTTATTTAAGCTATCCTATGCAAAAAATTATTTCAACATGTAATTGTTTAAAAATTAGTGAGAGGTTTTACATTATTTTTGGTACTAAGTTTTCAAAATTTAGTGCACTTTTTACACTCAATACACATTTTAATTGAAACTGTTCACTAGGGATCAGTAACCATATGTTACTGGTTACTGTGCTACTAGTTCTGGGGTCTTCCCTTCAGTAAGCCATAGTCCTGTTAATAGTATCTCCTACTTATTTCTGCAGTAGGTGTTTTTTGGTTGCTTAGTTTTTGTGTTTGACTTTTTTTTTTTCAACCTTATATACCCTGGTCACTTCTCATTTAGATTACTACAATAGCTTATATAACCTAATTGCTAGGTCCCAAAGAGCATACAAGATGGATCAGAATGTAGGAGATAATGAATGGGTCATCAGAAAAGTCATAACATATTTTTCTGTTTTTTTTTTTTTTTTTATACACAAAAATGTGTCATGACTTTTCCAATGACCCTATAGTAGCATTTGCCTACTTATATATATTTTTATTTAGAATTTAACAAAACAGCTCAGATTTTAAAATATTTATTTTACAAATTGATGCCAGCCCCCTTCTCTGGATCTTTGAGAAGTCAGTAATGTGGTAAATATGACAGATAAAATACATTTACCCCCACAATATGTTTTTAAATGTTAAAAACATTTTAAATTCCATCTATATGTCATAATTTTAAATTTGTCTTTGTGTATTTCCACATAATGCACACAATTTATCATATAATAGCCCGGTGTCATTTAAAGATAACTATACACATATCAGGGATGTGTATTTGAAATTGATTTTTAGTTCTGTCCGAGGAGTGGAATCAGTGAGATTCAGGGTCCCATAGAATTGGATCCATCCCAAGTCCATCTCCTCCTCCAGTCTCAACTTTTTTTTTTTTTTTTTTTTTACCTTCCTCACGTTGTCTGTAGGAAGTAGCCCTTTCATACTTTGCTCTTGTTTATCCATATTTGTGGAAAACAAACAGACAGACAAGCTAGTTCTTGACCTGACTGGTTTGATTCCTGTCCAGGCTCTTCTGGGGATACCACTCATCAAGGGAAGTCTGCTACAACTTCTGAAATTCTGTCGAGTGCCCCTCTTCTTGCTTGTCAAACATCTCTTGCTATAATCTTATACTGAAATGATGTCGCTAGAGTCTTAATTACCCCTAAATTATAAAATTCTTGAAGGCAGGGATCATAGCATCATCCTGCTTTGCTTACACAGGATGAGGTCTTAAGACATATTTATTGAACTAAATTCATGGTGCCTCTTGAGCACCATGATTTCTGGGTTTCATATTTGTACATTCTATTTGTACATTCTTTTTCACTTGGATTGCTAGGTGACCCTGGAATCAATAGTAAATGATCTTGATATCATATAATTTTTGACATTTAGATCATCATACAATTCTATACAGTATTTTATTTCTGGTTCTATAAGAAAGCATTATTTAGCCTAAAAGACATGGTAAACTATGCTGTATGGAAAACAGAATTTACCTTTACAACCACTGTGAAGTGAAAAAAAAAAGCATTTTCCTTTAAATGCCATTTGTAAATAATTTTGCATCAAATTCATAATCCATGCTGCTAGTGTTTTAAAATTTAAAAGCTGTCTGAAGATCTTTATGGAGATGCTACATGTTTTGTAGGATGGCAAATAGCCACCAGAAGTAGATAGCTGAATCAAGACCCTAAGTCCCCTCACACTTTTCATGTTCCATGGTTTCAGCTTTCTCTCCCAATCAGCCTTATTCAGGGCTGTTAACAAGGAGCTAATTGATTGGCTTGGGTTTGCTCTTTTTGCTATTTGTTGGTCAGTCTCTGGTGGAAATCCTAATGAGTTGTAAACAAATGGTCCAGGAGGCTAGAAGGGAAGAATAGGCAGGGGACACATAATGTCTATTGTTTACTCACTCAACTAAGTAGATTTTCATTGTCCCAGCAATGCTGTCAATAACAGGCCTGGCATAAGTCAATGAGGCTGCTTCCTTCCGTTCTCATGTGTTTCACTCCTGTTGGTCCTTCCATCCCTCTGAGTCTGAGATTCTGATTTCATTCCTTGACAGGGGAAGCTTTCCTCTGGTTGTCTGCACTTTGGGAAGATAAATTCTCTAAAATAGTTCAATAGAAGTCCGACTTAGTGGGGGCCAGCAGGTAGTATGGCAGGGGCCAGCAGGTGGCATGGCAGGTAAGGTGCTAGACCCACATGGCCAAACACAGTTCGAGTCCTGGATCTGGCAGCTTGAAAATCACACAAGGCATGTCCCCAAATCCTACTCAAATGTATTTTTATTTAGAATATAACAAAACAGCTCAGATTTTAAAATATTCAGTATACATATTGAGAAGAGAATGGAGGAGAAGGGATTATGGTATGACCCCCCCCCCAGGGGGTGATTTCTTGCTTTCCCTCTCTCTTTCTCTCTCTAGCAAGCACATGAGCCTAATGGCAAATATCTAAAAAACAAAACAAAACAAAACAAACAAACAAAAAAAACAAGAAGTTGAACTTTGCAGGAACAGTGTTATTCTTACTGCAGTTCATATGTCGCTTTAACCACCACTTACTCCCAGACAGCGGTATCTCCATTGGCTGTGTTAAACTAAACACTTGTGCTGACCTCTGCTTTTTTGCAGGTGATTCGCAAGGGATGGCTCACTATCAGCAACATCGGCATCATGAAAGGAGGCTCGAAGGGATACTGGTTCGTCTTGACTGCAGAAAGCTTGTCGTGGTATAAAGACGATGAGGTAGGCTGCAGACGGTGATAAAGTGTTCTCGTTAAAGTGTTTCCAGTTTGAACTAATGGATGTTATTATGATAGACAGTTTGCAAACAGACACGGGTGGTTCTCTTTTAATGAAGCTTATTTTTCTCACAGATTTTGAATTTTATACTATTCCCCTCAACATTTTCTTCTCCTGTTTATTTCCTTGGTGTAGTCATGTTGGCTTCCCTGAAGAAATGGAGTTGAGGGGTCAGGAGTCAGAAACTCCCTTTTATATAGTAATATCCAAGGTACGAGTACAGTGAAAACAATTTACTAAATAATGTATTTGAAAGAGCCAAGGTAATAGACCGTCTTAAACGTGAAATTAACAACACTGTTGCAGAGTTCATATAGCCATTTGGAATTGTTACTGTGACACGTGTCTCAAATGAAAGGCTTTTGAGAATTTTCACATCACTAGTCTTCACCGGGTCCCAGATTATTGTTTATACAAAGGAGACCCACATGGCCAAACACAGTTCGAGTCCTGGATCTGGCAGCTTGAAAATCACACAAGGCATGTCCCCAAATCCTACTCAAATGTATTTTTATTTAGAATATAACAAAACAGCTCAGATTTTAAAATATTCAGTATACATATTGAGAAGAGAATGGAGGAGAAGGGATTATGGTATGACCCCCCCCCCAGGGGGTGATTTCTTGCTTTCCCTCTCTCTTTCTCTCTCTAGCAAGCACATGAGCCTAATGGCAAATATCTAAAAAACAAAACAAAACAAAACAAACAAACAAAAAAAACAAGAAGTTGAACTTTGCAGGAACAGTGTTATTCTTACTGCAGTTCATATGTCGCTTTAACCACCACTTACTCCCAGACAGCGGTATCTCCATTGGCTGTGTTAAACTAAACACTTGTGCTGACCTCTGCTTTTTTGCAGGTGATTCGCAAGGGATGGCTCACTATCAGCAACATCGGCATCATGAAAGGAGGCTCGAAGGGATACTGGTTCGTCTTGACTGCAGAAAGCTTGTCGTGGTATAAAGACGATGAGGTAGGCTGCAGACGGTGATAAAGTGTTCTCGTTAAAGTGTTTCCAGTTTGAACTAATGGATGTTATTATGATAGACAGTTTGCAAACAGACACGGGTGGTTCTCTTTTAATGAAGCTTATTTTTCTCACAGATTTTGAATTTTATACTATTCCCCTCAACATTTTCTTCTCCTGTTTATTTCCTTGGTGTAGTCATGTTGGCTTCCCTGAAGAAATGGAGTTGAGGGGTCAGGAGTCAGAAACTCCCTTTTATATAGTAATATCCAAGGTACGAGTACAGTGAAAACAATTTACTAAATAATGTATTTGAAAGAGCCAAGGTAATAGACCGTCTTAAACGTGAAATTAACAACACTGTTGCAGAGTTCATATAGCCATTTGGAATTGTTACTGTGACACGTGTCTCAAATGAAAGGCTTTTGAGAATTTTCACATCACTAGTCTTCACCGGGTCCCAGATTATTGTTTATACAAAGGTTGTTCTTTGAGAATTTGATATCTATGCAAAAGCATGAATTATGATTATTATGGTGTTCTGGTTCATCTTAAATGTTAATGATTTTTTTCCTGTGACTCATTTAAATCTGATAGCTATGAAAGTGCAGAAAAAAAAAGTCACATTAGTCTTATAGAATGAGTGAAATATGCTATAAAGTGATACTACCAAATTCGAGAGGGCACCAATGGAAATTACACTACTGGAAATTTTAATAGCTCTGGTCTGTCTGATCTAAGAAATCTGTGGTGCTTTTATTGCAGCATGATCCATGGTAACAAAACTATGCGCTGATGAGATCAGTCACCTTTACTTGACTGTAAAGGGCAAGGGTTTCAGAGTTAAAAAGCCTTTCTATCTTGGCTTGATGTCTTTTGAAAGCACGACAGGGTGCCTTTGACAGTTCTTGGAGGGATAATTTCATGTATTATATAGTTTTGTTATTTTTTTTTTCATTTCCCAAGTGCTTTCTGTACAATAATGTATTGAAAAATATTGCATGATTGGTCGATTGCCACTAAACTGTCTGCATAAGAGTAATCAAATCCCCAAGGAATGTCTGTACAAAATTGCTATTCAAAAGCTTGTGTTTAGATTTTCCTGTCACTGACCTCAGTCAAAGGTGGAATTGGTCATTGCAAGAGCTTGAGGATTAGCCGTGCTTTCTTCTCTGAATTGGCTGTTTAGATATCCCTGTCGTAGTTTTAAAGATCACAGCTTGAGGAGCTTTGAGAAACTTCCTCAGACATAAAAATCAGTAAATAGATGATCTTTGCTTATTTAGTTGCTCTAAGCATCCTTTGCTTAGGTACATTTTCTCTCAAGGATTTAGATAACCATTCGTACATGCATTTAAATGCACATCAATCTTGGGAACTTTCTCAGTTATCCAAGGGCAAAAGAATTTACTGAGGAATCATAGTAGTAATAGCTAGAGTTTTATGTATGTTAAGTCATTTAACCCACATTACAACTCTAAAGGTAAGCCATATAAAACAAACACAAAAACACCAACCTTTTGAAAAGTCACTTTTAAGAATTCAGTTTTCCCTATTATATTGGGTTGTCAGAGAAGTCATGACACATTTTTGCATAGAAGAATAGGTCATGACTTTTCTGACAACCCAATAGAACATTTAGTGTTGGTGAGGATAGTGAATGTCCCAGATCACATAGCTGGCTAGTGGCCAATCAGAAACTAAAGCCCACACTCTTAGGTTCCAGAGCCTGTTTTTCAACCAGAGATGTAGACATGAATCCTAGAGGTATCTGGAGTTGTCCCAGACAACCTCCTCCTCTAGAAAATGTATGAGATGATTTCAGGCATGTGCGCATTGACCATTCTCAGGCATAAGCAGCAGCAGCTCTGGAGACTCCAGGGTGGCTGTTGTTGGGTGAGGCCATGCTGGTCCTGAGGAAACCTATTAGAAGCACATGATGCTCTCCATGGGGAGAAGAAGCTTCAAGAGCTTGTGAGCTCATGGTTATCTATCATCTCCTCTTCTCAAGAAGACCCACTGTAAATTTTTACAAAATTCCCGCTACAGAAGCTCCCTCATGAGTACTCGATTACAACAAATAGAAAACAAATGTACAAAGTTATAGTATTCACTGAGCATAGTGAACAACTTAACGAAGGTACGTGTGTGGGAGTTAGTTGGGGACAGGGTGAGTAGGAATGGCCCTGACATAAAATGGAGCGATTTTGATGAAGTAACTATAAATGAGAGTAGTTCATTCAGTGAATGGGAAATGACAGACAGGACTGCTGCTCTATGGAACCAACAATGACGTAGACTAATAATATAACATCAGGTAGTAAGGGCTCTGCTAGAAGAAAATAGAATAGGGCAGTGATTAGAAGTGAGGAGGAAGCAGCCTTTGGGTTGGTGATTGGAAGGAAGTAACATGAGCAGAGATTGGAAAAGTGAGCTGTGCAGGTTTGTGGAGGAGCATTCCAGGGAGAGAGAATAATGAGTTTAAAACCCATGGAGATGGCTAGAATATGGGAGTAGGAAGAGAGGCAGAAAACAAAATCAGAGGTACCAGTAGGTGGGGATGATTAGTCTCCACCTGGTGACTTGGAGGTTATTCCTAGATAAAACCACTGGAGAGTTCCAACAGAGTGTGGCATGATTGGATTTCTGGTGTAGAAAATATGACTCCAGCTACTGGTCATGCCCGATGTATAGGACAGGAAGTGTGTGTGGTGAGAACAGAGGGATGAAACCATAGCAGAGTTTCAAGCAGGACTGTAGTAGCTGGTGGTGAGGAGCACTCAGGTGGCAGGGTAGCAGATGGAAGGGCTCGTACAGCTGTGCTTTCCTCACTGGCTACTGTTACTCATTTAGAGTTCAGCTTCAGAAACAAGATAGGAAGTGCATGAAATATCAAACCTGACTCAAGAATAATGACCATGATCTTTAAAATGTCTGTGTCAGCCATTTCCATGTCACCAAATATCGGCTGATACCACTGTGGTCCTTCACTATTCTGCTTCATTCACTTTTTCTTTTCTTTTTTTTTTTTTTAAGAGGCTTTTTGCCTTAGAGCACGTGTGCTTGCCAGAGAGAGAGAGAGAGAGAGAGAGAGAGACTCTGACACTGAGAGGGAAAGTGAGAAATCACTCCCTGGTAGGATGGCCACATCATGATCCTTTCTCTTCCATTTTCCTCCTAGGATCTTGGGCAGGCATACACATATGTGAGTTTTAAGCCTCTGGGGCTGGGACTTGAACTGTGGTCAGCCATGTGGAAGTCCAGCGATGTAACCACTATGCCATCTGCTGGTCCCTCTCTGTTCACTACTGCTGGAGTGTCCTGCCATGGCAGACTGTCTCTGAGCCTGCTGTCTGGGCAAAAGGGGAGGAGTAGCATTGTTCTTGCTCTTTGCTAGTATTTAATGAGTTATTATTGCTGTCTTCTGGGAGGTGGGGCTGGAAGGAGGGTATGGGGAAAAGGAAGTCAGGCAGAAAATGTTAGGAGAATGGGCTTTAGAGGTACTGATCTATCCCTAGCCTCTTGAATGCAGACTCTCAACATTCATCCTTAAGCAGCAATCTCAAGACCTGTAGGGTCAAAGAATAGCTTTCTGTGTGCATATATATACCCTTGTGATCTGGGATGGGTGATATTTAGCTTTTAAATGATGCTTGGAGTCCATAAAGATCTCGTTGCCATAGTTGAACTACTCATGGATCTAACACAGTCCTGTGGGCAACCTTGACCCCATATTTGAGTATTCCTTTATGAAAATAAGCTTCAGTTTCTCACTCAGCTTTTGGAGCCATTTTGTTGGTGAGCCGAGTGCTTGTACTTTGTCTCTATATAAACATCAGCACCTATTACACAATATGGAAATTCTGTTATAAGACAAGTTAGCTTTCATAGGTAAATGTGACATGGGAGATATTAAGTTAGATCCATTCATTTATTTAATGAAAAATTTACATCCAAATTTTCATGATCACTAATT